CAGCCTTTGTGAGCAAACAGAGTCACTACGCTGACAGCTTCACGAGTTCAAACATCTGTGTCCTTTTTTGTACAACTGCTAATTCCTTTGAAATTTTGATGTTGAAAAAAAAGAAAATGCTGGTTAAAGTTATTCTGCAAACTGGCAGTTTTTCAAAAACTCTCTCCCACATTAGAGGCAAATGATCCTTGTGGTTGCTTAGAAGGTTTGGCTGAATGTTTTTGTTTAGATGCTTGGCTGTTTGTTCTTTTAAAGTCCTGATCGTTTTTTTGTTTCACTCTGTACCTAGCGTGCAGGTGAAGAATTGCACGGAATGCCAAGGCTTTCATGTACCTTCTCTTTCTTGATGAAAGTGGAATTAGGAATGTCCTTCTGACTTTTCAACTTTTATTTTTTTTTTATTTTTGACTAAATGAAAGAAAAGAGTTCAAAAAGATATAAGACCACAAGAAGTTAGTTAAAATGTTAGTCCAGGTGTCTCTATATTGCGAGGTTATTATACCATGAACCTTTTTTTATCAGTCTAAATTAAAAAATAAATTAAAAAAGTATAATTTCCCAATTGCACACAGACCGTAATGTTATAGCTATCTCTGATATAGGAAGAGCATCACTGCTATTATACTCAAAATGGTGGCATTGTTGAGTGCGTATGTGCATCCCACAGTAGTCAGCAGACTTGATTTCCCATAAATGTTCAGAGCATCTAGTTCTACTCCTGCAGCTAAGGATTCTGGGAAGATATATGCAAATTAAGCTTGCACGGTTACTGTTAACCACTTCATGTCCTGTACAAGACAATTTTTTAATTATTATAAAAAATTGGAGGGGGCATTGTCAAAAGCCCACTACTTTAACTGTAATGTTCTTGAAGCTGGTCAACCCTTAGACCAGACAGGCACATATTTTGCTATTTACTTTAGTTTTAGTATTGTGCATAATTGGCAGTATTTATTTAAAGTGCAAACATTAAAATCTTCTTAAAATAAAAGTGGTCTATTACTTGCAAGAAATGAAAATATGTCTGCTAACTCAGCCAATCAATGCCATCCAAGATGATGGCACCAACAACCTCCTAGCATTAACATCAGGAGCTTTAAAGGGTCACTATAGTGCCAGGAAAACATACTCGTTTTCCTGGCATTATAGTGCCCTGAGGGTGCCCCCACCCTCTGGGTCCCACTCCCGCGGGGCTGGATGGTGAGGAAATGGATAAATCTTACCTTTTTTCCAGCGCCGGGCGGGGAGCTCTCCTCCTCCTCTCCTCCTCTACGGCTGAATGCGCATGCACGGCAGGAGCTGCGCGCGCATTCAGCCAGTCTCATAGGAAAGCATTCATAATGCTTTCCTATGGACGCTTGCGTCTTCTCACAGTGATTTTCACAGTGAGAAGCACGCAAACGCCTCTAGCAGCTGTCAATGAGACAGCCACTAGAGGCTTTAGAGGCTGGATTAACCCTATTATAAACATAGCAGTTTCTCCGAAACTGCTATGTTTATAAAAAAAAAAGGTTAATCCTAGAGGGACCTGGCACCCAGACCACTTCATTAAGATGAAGTGGTCTGGGTGCCTAGAGTGGTCCTTTAAGGTTGATGTATTTTTTTTCAATTTTTTTGCATAATTTTCATATGCTAGCTATACACTGCATTAATAATGTTGGTAATTAGAAGAACCGTGGCTGCTGAACACAGACAGTTAGGGAAGTTATGGGGAGCTTCACAATGTTTGAACTGGCTTATTAATATGTTTCACTTATGTCTCCAATGGGTGCAAGAAACATTGTCCTAACACAAGACAAAAACAAAAGGGGAAGTTGAATTTCTTCGGTTTGAAAGGTGTGAAGCAAACCTCACAGATGGACTCTAAATGGCAACGGTGACCCTGGTAGGTAGGTGAGATTCCTATCTGGACAGCAAGAGGGCCATGGAGGGAGTGCTAATTTCCCTAATCTGTAGTGGACCTTCATGAATCAGGCATGTTTTATTAACATACATCCCATGTGTAGAGAATACATTTTAAATTGAGTAAAACTCTGCTATTTTAGTCAGGTGATTGGCTGATTGGTACATAAAGCATGGGATTAGCAGAGATCATTGATCTTGATGATCTTAGCAATTGTAGCAGTAGCTACATTTTTTACTCACCACAGGTATGTACCTAAGCAGCCACTAGTGCACCATAGCGTTAGGAGTGCACATTTGTATATCTAATGCTATTGTGCTCATTTAATGCAAATAAGGAAGAATGGGAAATGTGATGATGAATGTAGGTAGACAATACCATGGGTGCCTTCAATAATCATAAGGTTAGCCATTCCTACTTTAAGCATGCTCTCATATACTAGCCACTGGCTTATAGCAAACCCAAAGCTGAACATTTAATTCTTCGTTTGTCTCTGATATTTTCACTCTGTAAGTTTTGTGTGAATACTTTTTATGAGCTTGTTTGCTGTTCTCCGCAATACATTTCTTTCTCACATTTAATGGTCTCTGAAACTTAGCATTGTTCAGTTACCTTGTATAACCCTGGGATAATGTGTCAACTTTCCTTAATCCTGCGGTTATAGCTGTGTTGTTGATGTGTTTCCCTCCCCCTTTTCTCATTTTAAGAAGACAATGCTTATTTCAGAAAATGTGTTGCATGAGGTACAGGATCCTGGTGTGCAGACAGGTGAATTTCAGCACAGCCGCACATGTGATCCATATTTCCATAATCTTCCCACAGAGGAAATTACAACTGTAGAGTAAGCATTTAAAATATATCATTGTGTCACCTTGGTAACATTTTCAGGTTAAGTATTTTTTCAAATTGATACAAAAGGCACATCTGTAAACCCCTGTCTACCTTGAGTCATTGCTGGTGCAGAATAAAACCTGTGTGCCTTGTTGCTCTGTCCAGTCGTGCCATGGTGTGTGACCTTTGACATGAACCTGTTTTCAGCAACCTCTCTGTTGATAGCAGAGTTTGTCTGATATGTCTGTTTCACTTAAAGGGACACTCCATGTACCAATACAACTTCAATGCATTTGATAGGTATTGGCTTTATTAATATGCTCTATTTGTTTGCATGCTCAAATCTTTATAGCTGTTACATAAAAAAAATACGTTTTGCAGAATGCTGCACCTTATGCCTGCCTCTTTAGCTACACCCCCTAACTCCAGAAAAAATACTTCCTTGTCAAATGTATGCACACAGCTCAGCCACTGACAGCACTGAATGATCTGGACAAGAAAACAACATGGAAGACATCCAGGGAGACATATAGTAAGGATTACACTACCTGATTGTAGTTTCTCTGGCTGTCTGCAACCAGGTTGTGAATTAGAAGCAGCTCACTCAGTGCTGTTGGGGTTGAGACTGTATGCATACATTAAATAAGAAAGTCTTTCTGGCATAAGGAGGCAGACTTATGGTGCAGAATTCTGCAAAACATTTATTTTTTTTGTGTGCAAAAACTATAAAGATTTGAGCATGCTAAAAATACAGAATATTAATCAAGCAAAAATCTCTAAAATGCATTACTGTTGTATTGTTGCATGGAATGTCCCTAATGTGTTTCAACCTACAAATATAACTGATAATATTACCACTTTGGTGTAACTGTTTATTCATACACCTAACTATAGCCTACAAAGAATGCCTAGAAGAACTGATGCTGTTTTTAAGCAACGTATGGTCATGATAATTATAGATTTGGTTTAGCTTTTTGTTTTTTCTAGACTTTCTTTGAATTTTGTTAATTGATTAAAAAAAAAGCTATTTTTTAAAAAAAAATTGAAAAAACATTCTTGCATTACAGCTTTTTTTACATCTGCCTAAAGCTTTTGCACAGTAGTAAAATTAAAATAAACCCTCTTGGACAATTAGAATGGCATGTACAGTAATTTCCATCATTCTTTTTCTGGCTGCTTTGATGGGAGTTACAGTCTACAGCATTTTGTGTTCAGGTTCCTAACATGGATCTTCTCTTAACCCGGTGCAGTCCCTAACACTGACTCCAAGTACCCTTATCCTAAGTAATACCTTATTATAATGGCAACATGACAATACTTGGAAACTAAAAAAATCTCAACGTACCATTCCTGATAAAATATTTAATAAATAAATAAAAACGTCAAATGGCATCTTTATGAATGGCATTATGATGACACTCAACTCTTTGATGGGAATGTTTTCAAAATGACCACTTACTTGTAGAAATGGTACTACAGCTCTGTGCAGATATTGTATGTGTGTTGTGTGATAATTCATAGAGTTTCTATAGTAAGGACATTACAGTTAATTAGGCCAAAAAAAATAAACTTACAAAATACACTAAATACAAGCATTCATCATTTCATTTTGATTATACAAAAGGCAAACTCCCAGCATTCACCCTATGATATAGTTTTTGATCTTCTCATAAAGGTTGAGATTGATTTTTGCCTGAATCAATACAGTCCAAGATACATTTAATTGTTTTAGCCCAGACTGTTAGTCTCCGTGATCTTTCCTGTTTTATTCCATACACAGAAGCAGAGAGAACAGAGAGACTGTCTGTTTTCAAACAATTTTGACTCACGGAGCATGTATATGGCTGAA